ATTCTGAAGGAACATTTCAGACAATGATACTTATTCTTCACTTTAAACAAAGGTTTTAAACTAGGTGCTATAATATGTCTTCATCTTTTAACTCTTGATACACTTCTTGATACACAAATTAGACTGATAATAGTGAGATATCTGCTTTTTGGACTATGTGAGAACCCATGTAATAAATCAGGCTTATTATCATCTTTATGTAATGCATGATAGAGACACGTGCCCATTGGCTGCTTGTAAAGTATATAGAATGTGCTTTATTAACTGCCTTTATCACATTCAGCACAGGGAACCTCAAGAGCAAGATAAGGTTAGGCCCAGAGAGAACACCTCGGACAAGGACCCCGTAGCAGATTTTCTATATCAACGTGGGGAACGGACTAGAAAATACACATTAAATGCCAATCAATATCTGTATCATCTTATGCATTTTACAAAACATTTTCCATTATTTAACCTTCACATAATCTTACAGGATAATAGGACTGTTCTCATTTCCCAGGAACAGGAACAAAGGCTTGTTGCAAGGCATTCCCCTCTGGGTTATGAACATGGGGATAAAGCAAGTTAGAATAAAACAGAGGGTATGGCCCTAGCCGGTTAGGCTCAGTGGATAGAGCGATGGCCTGCAGACGGAAGGGTCACAGGTTTGATTCCAGTCAAAGGCGCATGCCCAGGTTGCGGGCTTGATCCCCAGTGGGGGGTGTGCAGGAGGCAGCTGATCAATGATTCTCTCTCATCAGTGATGTTTCTTTTCTTTTCTCTTCTTTTTTTTTTTGCGCCCTAGTAGGTGACAGCGGCTGTGGCCATGGGCTCCCGGGACTTTCGCTGGCCCTGGGAGGCAAGGCCGTAGACACGTCCGCAGGCTCCTGGGACTTTTGTTAACTGTCACTCTGCGACAAAGATGGCGGTGCCCATAGTGGCTGGGGCAGGATGCTGGCGGCGTTGCCCCAGCAACACAAGCCCAGCGTCTGGCCCAGCTGCATGGAAGGAGGGGAGGGGAGGGGCCTCCAGCCAGAGTCCACTTCAAGGGATGCCCAGTGTCTGCACCCTGGCCAGGCAGAGGGAGAGGAGGGCAGGGGCCTCAGGCTGGAGTCCCTGGTGAGGAATGCTGGGCTCACAGTGATGCGTTCAGCTTTAGAAGTTATTTACTAACCATCAGTTAGTAAATAACTTCTAAAGCTGAACATGTGTGCTTGGCTGGGTGAAGAGAGGTGAGGGCAGGGGCCTTGGCCAGAGGGATGCTGGCATCATTGCAGGCCAGGGTGTGGGGAAACCCTCTCCCACCTGCACGAATTTTGTGCATCAGGCTACTAGTACATATATAATAGCTTAAGTGACTATTGCGACTGAACGACTGGAATGACCAGTTGAACAGTTGCTATGATGTGAACTGATCACCAGGGGACATATGTTCAGTGCACTCTCATAGCTAACCTCCCTCAGTTCCTCCCCCTCACTGGCAAACCTCCTGCGGTCCCTCTCCCTGTCCTTCCTACCCATCCAGCAGGCCCCAGCTGGTAGCTGGCAGGCCCCAACCAGCCTGGCCCTGGTCAGGACTGGGCGA